AGCCTAGATAATTAGCTTAGACTCTCTGAACTTGTAGAAGTTAATATTAGGTGAGAGGGAACAAAACCATACTTTATTGCAAAATTCTTTCTGTTGCATCATGGTGAGTAAGAAGCACATTAGCAGATTATGTCCTTCTAACAGCTCTATTTCACAACAGTCAGGGTGTTTCAATTCTGCAAGGACCATTCCTTCATTTTCCTTCAATCTGAGAAGGATTTCCAGATGACATTACATCTTTTGAGACCTGGCTCCCTGATTGATAAGTAAGCAGGGTTAAGAGTACACATTCAATTTAAATAGCTTTATGAGCTGAATCTCTATGTCTTTGATCCAATTAAGTGTCTGCAGCTGTGGGGCAGGGGGATCTGCACCTGTCACACAGCACAGGTTGGATATAATCCTAGGAGAGGTAGTGGCCATGGAGAGTTCACTCTCTGAGACTTTGTTATTGTTGACTTGGTATTTAAGTGGACTTCCATTACCATCACTCCATCTCTTTACTTTCCATCATAGTTTAATTTGGTTTTTTTTGGAGAGTACTCAGCAGAGCACTTAAAATATTTCTACATGTTGTGCAGTGCATCAGGCACTAAGAAATTGTCATCTGCAGTAAAATCTTTTGTCTTATTCAAAGGAAAACAAGGAAACTCATAATAATTTCCTATTTCTGACACCCACATAGACAGCTCTAGAGGTTCATATTCAAAATGCTTAGTCAACAGCAAATTCACAGTTCATTGAAAGTTAAATGTATTCATTTTCTCCTGTAAGTGTATGACAGGAAGGTGTTGGAATGACTTACTTGTAAAATGTGTTTTGCATTTCGTTACAGCCAATAACTCTGGTGTGAACAAACGGCAGATCACAGACCTTGTGGATCAGAGCATCCAGATCAATGCACACTGTTTTGTGGTCACAGCAGATAATCGCTACATTCTCATCTGTGGTTTCTGGGACAAAAGCTTTCGAGTCTATTCTACAGAAACAGGTGACTCTAAATACAACCACCTATTTCTTGTGTGTTGTTAGGTCACAAATGAGTGGTTGTCTTAATGCCATATCTAATGCCTATGCTTACCCTTCAAAAAGTAATAAGGGGCAGTTTAGAAAATCCTTCATTATTATTGGCTTATAATAGCTTTCGGATGCTTTTTTTGAAGATGAAGGAGATAATATGAAACTGGAAGGCATATGATTTTGTTATTGGCAACTTTCCAAATCATACATGCTTATATCCAAAGAGCTGATTATATCAAAGGATGAACCAAAACTTTTATTACAAAATTTTAATGACTGTATTGATTTCATCTCAATTTATTTGATGTAATAAGAAAGGAAGGTGCATGGTGCATGGCCTGCTACCAGTAACTGATATTTTGTTTCTTTGTCTTACAGCCTAGCCTGATGTCATTTAGTGTATTACTAAAAACTGATTGCAATATTAGAAAGAGATGATGTTCCTAGTAAACCTTCACTTGACAGAAACAAATATGCATATTTTAATATACTCATGTATCACCCTTATGGAAGAGTTCATATGTGTTCTATCTCATGCTTATCATTAGTGAAATCATCAAATAATATGTTATCACCATTTAAAAATACTGATGGAGAAAGAATTCCATTTAATATTCACTGCCTGGGGCACTGAGTTGTTTATCAGAGAATAGGCTTGGGGTATGGACTGACACAGAGCATAAACATCAAAAGGAATATGGAAAGAGAAATATTTTAATTTTATCTTTGTTTTTTTGCCTTGTACTATAGAGTGAACTCTAAGGGACACTAGAAAGAGAATATATTTGAACTGAATATTTTTAATGCTGATTTTAGCTGTACCAATATGCTGCAGGTATTAAGAAATATCGAACTTTTATCACTGTACACTTCCTCCAGGCAAATTAACTCAGATTGTGTTCGGCCACTGGGATGTCGTTACTTGCCTTGCCAGATCAGAGTCCTATATTGGTGGTGATTGCTACATCGTGTCTGGCTCTCGTGATGCTACATTGCTGCTTTGGTACTGGAGTGGCCGACATCATATTATCGGTGACAATCCAAATAGCAGTAAGTATATCCTGCTAAAAGCACCTCCTGAGAAGTCCACTTTTGTGCCTATTCGTTTTTAGAATTTTTCTGCCAGCTTCAAAAATATTGCCAAATATACCCATTACTTCTCTTATAGATTGCAAGTATTATAAAAATTGTATCACATATAAAATAATTCATTGAGTACTAGCCAAAAAATATTTTAAGAGTCCATTCATGGTAACAGAGAGTAATAATATTTCTTTAATTCATAATTGATTTTATCACTTTTATAGCATCATGTCATCATAAACTTGAACAAAAGTATTTTGGCCTCTAAGTGACAGGACATATGTCGCTATTTTCTGATTTTCCTTTCCCCATAAATATTTCTGTCTTTAATGTCCGTAACTTTTTCTTTTTGTGATACTACATGCTGTTTCAGCTCTTTGCCATCTCAAAAAAAGAAATGTCTCATATAGCTTGGAATTAAGTTAGTCTATTTAAGAAAGGTCTTTCTGTAGCGAGTAAACCTTTGAAGAAGCAACATGATTGAATAAAAATAGAAAAAGATAAAATGTCAGGAAGAGTTTACATTTCAGTTTCAGAGAACTTGCTATCAATGCTTTGTATACAGAAGGGGACACAATAATATTAATTTATAAAGAAGGAGACTTAAAGTACAATGGAAATTTATAAGGTTCCTTCACCTCAGACAGAAATATGAGCACTGCGAAAGACAAAGGAACTTTTACCTATATACTATAGTTGTTCTGTACAAAACTTAATCTATGCACAGTTTTGTTTAAAGCATGATTTTCAAACACTGAATGTGATGATTGTTCTCAGCAAAATGATATTGCCTCTTTGGGTAAGCATCGCTATCAGATTTCATCTTTGGTTCAAGTGTGGACTGGAGGCAGTTGTAGACATTTCAGTTATAGACATCTAAGTGAAAGTTTTTCTTCAACTGCATGTCTTAGAGGAAACTTTTTTTTTAATGAGTAACAAAATATATATTATGCTAATTTGTTGGCAGCGGTAATTTTATTACGTTTTCATTTTCTTTTGTTTTTGTGTAACCAGAGCAGAGAGGACACAGATAGAAACAAGACTGGTATACTTGACTTGCTTTTGCTTCTCTGCAAGAGAAAAATGGAAGGGGAAAAATACAAAACCATTTATGTGTATACATATATGTTTGCATTTCTCAGATATGAAGAAAGTCAGGCTGAAGAGTTTCATTTCAGGACACCCTATTTAGCTGGGTGGTATTTTGCTTACTAAATGTTTATTGAATGTTTGATTCATGCTAAGTGTTGGTAATTTCTTTGCTAAGAATCAAAAAAAAAAAAAAGAGAGCTTGTACTTCTTTTGACTGTGAGGGACTAGAGCAGCCTTGCCATTAGCAGTTCTTGGCCAACCGATACAAACATCATCCCCATTCTTTTTGAGACAGATATATTTTAGTTCAGATACTCTCTTGTCATCATGGAGACATCTGAATGTGAGAACGTGGCACTTTTTGGAATCCCAGGTTTAATAGCTCAACTCTCCAACATTAAAATAATGATCAGATTATTTATTACTCATGCTGAAGACCAAATTGCCAAATCATCATTATTACTATCTCTACTCATTGTGTTAAAACTGAGAGTCATATGTTAAAAATATAGTAATACTGTGCTGCAATCAGAACTGTGTTGTAAACATATCCTAACAGACCTTTTCATAACTCTTTTAGCTTTTGAAAATGTACACCAGGAAGAATACAGTGATAATATGTTAGAAGGATATTCCACCTTTTAAAATGTTTGCAATTACTAAATATTCCTATGGAAGTAATAAACACTAAATTTTGGTCCCTACCATGAACGGACATGATAGCTTGTTGTAAAAATAATTCCCTATATAGTTTTCACAAGTGAAGTATTGTAACAAACCTTATGAAGATATTTTTGAAGATTTACATAGCTATTAAGACACTGAAGTAGCTTTATAAAGAAATATTTCCTAATCTACTCCTCTTCTATATTTACTGGTAGATTAGGACTTATCTTGTAGGAAAAATGAAAGTGAGATGTTCACTGTAGGTTAAATCCAATTAGTTAACATCTTGAGAATGAATTTCTAGGAAGATGTGGATGATATTTTCAGGAAAAAAAGAAAAGGGGATTAGCTTCTTAAAAGCTGTCATCTGGAGACACAGATAAGGTATTTTATATAACAGACTGTAAGAAGGTGAAGAATTCAAAGAAAAATGTCAGGTATAGTAATTACATGGCAATCACAACTACTTATTGTGAACTGCTCAGAAGATTGTTAGAATAAAGTCCTTACAATTTCTGCTAAAATTCCGTGTTATAGAATCCATGAGTTAGATGAAGTCTTTATTAACAATATATATGTCAATAATTTTAACCTCTCAGACTTGTCTAGAACTGCAGCTAAGCAACCTGTGTATGTACTGTGCTCAGAGGATGACCTGTTAGATGACCTGTTATGTCTGTGGGAAGTACTGAATCAAGACTGGCTTAATTAGGAGAGTAAGAAATAATTGTACCTTGACTAAGACTCTTGCTGTCCCATGGCTGTTCCAGTTCAGTAGTTTAAAACTTGCCTACTAGAGTATGGTGAACTTCTTTATAGTTTTAAAAGAATTGTTCCATATCAGTGCATTCATGAGGGTATCACTTCTCTTTTCTTGTAGTCCAGAGTGAAGGGAGTTTCTGATTGAGTTTGCATTTCTCACTGTTATTTTCCACACTGTGAAAAGAGAGAAACTTCACCAGATTTTAAATACATTTCTTTCCATAAAATAACTTTCAAAAATAGCTTGTGTAATATCCATATGGTTAGGCTATTTGTTCAGAAAGTGGAAGACTAAGCTCTTGGTCTCAGAGGCTAAGGGAATTCAAACCCACTTTTCTTATATTCACAAGAATATGGAGGCGCTGGCCCCATCTGTGCTTCCATCTTTGATGGAAAGTGTCAAGAAAAATTATTTTCCCAGCCTTGAGATTGGTGCCCTGGGATGATTCTACAAAGCTAGGGATGTGGCATGAATTGCTTTTGAATGAGATGGAGCTGGATGCAGTTTTCCTTCTTCCTGGAAGGCAACCACCATGTTTTCATGTATGCTTGGATTTGTTTTACTCTTTTGGGCTTGCTTAGGTCAGTGTGCACCTTTGGAGAAAGTAACAGAATCGTTCCACCAGCATCAGATACCTACTTTCTAAGCCAAAACTGGCCATCTGAACTAGGTAATCTGAATCTGGACCTTATTAAATTGATGGCCACATTATAACGATCTGCTGCAGTTGAGAGAGCAGTGAAAGGAATCTGTTTTGCTTTAGGAAGACACAGCATATACAAATGATGTAATTTGCTTATAAGCAATTTAGCAGCAGATTGTTATTCTTTTAAGTGATCTGACAAATGTAAACCTTTGCAATTCTAAGAGATTGAATAGAAAAAATATTGTTACAGAGTTTAAGGATTTGGATTTTGTTTTGGTTTGTTTTTTTCACTCATGGTAGCAGGGATTTTAGCTGCACTCTGATTTGTATACAAATTTCTTCACACATAGCAACTGTATTAGTCATCATAAAAAGGAGCAAAGACACTACATGATATGCCCTGGAGTTCAACATGTATTGTTATAGTTGTTTTATTTTTATACTTTATGATTTCTTTATTGAATGTCTCTTTCCAACAAGTGACTTTGAAAATGAGAATTATCTCAGAGTCTTTGAACAGATACCTAAGTAGATGCTAGAATTGCAGAAAAGTGAGGGACAGATGCTTTCATCTGAAAGAGACACAAATTCAGAAACTAATTTGGAAGTGATAAAAATTAATTTGCACACTTTAATTGGAATCAGACTCCTGCGTGAAAGAAAAGGAGGGTAGGCAGCTTGTGCTAAAAGCTGATTGAATTTTTTGTCAGGTAAGTGTGTTGGACTTGGCTGCTTATCCTCTCGAGCCTCCCTGTGCAATATATTACATTCACCCTCTGACTGGTGTTCTTTAAAAGGATCAATGCTATTCCTGTTTTGTCCCTAGAGCCTGAAATTTCATTGATCTGGGGACTTGACATTTCTCATTACCTATTGTAGCTTCCACGAGGATGGTCACAAGAGGTGTGAGAGTTAACCCTGCTTTTTCTAACTGGAGCTGCACTGACCATTGTAAATATATTGTATCTACTAGCCCAAAGATTAGCCCAAAGCTCAGTTTGTTTAACAATATAACATAGTCCACAGAAGTGCTAACTATTTCTCTTATTCCAGTAAATGCATTCCGCATGTATTGGAAAGACAGGATGAGTGCTCCCCCAAAGCAGCTTTGTCAAGGCACCCTGCACTTATATTTAATTCTCAAAAGAATCCCATGAAAGTACACTTTTATTCTTTCGTTTTGGAAGCATTTCAAAATAGCTTCTGGTTGAGCATCCTGGTTTTTGCCTGTATCTAAAAGCAACTCAGGATATTCACCGTATTCTTTTATATCCCTCTGTATTTTAACATTCTTTGACATGTACTAGTTTAACCTTGAAAGAGCAGCAATTTAAAAATAGCCGTCAGTGTGTCTGTACCAGGTGAATGGCTGTTCAAAGGCCCATGCGAGCATTTTTACACACATGCAATCTACTTTGCACATTTAAAGAGTTATAACAGTACTTGTATGCTTGTGCAATTTAAGCATTAATTTTTAAAATATGCCATGTTGGCGTTATTCTGCCAGAGTGTGGTTTAGCAGAGAGTAACCTGAAGAACTTCCCATAAATCACTCTCCCACTGCAACCTCCAAGAATGACATCCCTAAAACTCTTTGAAAATTCCCGTGTAACTTCCACTGCCATCATCTCTGCTCAGGTCAAAGACTTCTCTCTTCCCAGGCTGCTGCACAAAGCTAGAAGAGCCAATAATCCAGCTGAACTAAAAACAGTTATATCAAGCATGGTGCCAGCGCATCTCTGTGGGCAAGTTTTGCTGCATAGACAGGGGGACAAAGCGATTTAGTGACAGAAACAGGAACAGATGCTGGGAATCCTTACGGGCCTCTCCTTTGCTATGTTCTTCCTTTTGGGGTCTGGGTAGCTGTAAGCTCCCTAAAAGTCTGCTGGCCTCAGAGGCTTCCAGTTATATACAGTGCTGCTCACGCTGCTCAGCAAATAAACCAGTTCTGCCAAAGGTGAGATGCTGTGGTATTTACCTCGAATATTTCGCTGTCAGCAGCCTGTTTTTTTTTTTTTAATGCTCCCTCATATTGTGGGTATTGTGGTTGGCTATTCCCTCCTCCAAAATCACACTTTTTGGGTATAGCCTGATCTTTTCATGAAACCCCAATGCATAGTTTTTATATGATAGCAAAAAAAAGTTATATTTTCATTTCCACAAATGTAGTGTTTTCTAAGATCTTGTTTTCTGAGAGATATCCCTTCAAAGTGTGTTAATCATAAAGAGACTGTATGATAAATGTGATACTTTGTTTTCTACAAATAACTCAGTTGTAGCCTTGCACTTGCTTCTATCAAAGCCAGCAATGAAATGGAAACTGGAATTTGCCTTGTGATCTCATCTTTCTTTAAACAGAAGAGTCCCAGATGTGTCCCCAGAGCAATCTGTACGTAGCTCCTGAGAAAGGGCAGCATGAGAGAAATAGTAATACTGCTCATTCTTTTTCCTTTTTTTTTTCTTTTCTTTTTTTTTTTTTCCCTTATCAGGA